GGGGCGCTGGACAGAACTCGGGGGCCGCCTCCACAGGGCACTGTGACAGAACTCGGGGTCGCCTCCGCGGGGCGCTGGACAGAACTCAGGGGTCGCCTCCGAGGGGCGCTGGACAGAACTCAGGGGCCGCCTCCGCGGGGCGCTGGACAGAACTCGGGGTCGCCTCCGCGGGGCGCTGGACAGAACTCGAGGTGCAGCCCAGGCCCCGCAGCAGTGGGGGCACCAGCCGCCGCCTCTAGCTTTGTGTGTGGCCTCTGAGCGGCCAATGCCACTCGGAGCTGCTGACACCTGCTTGCCCCTTTCTAGTCTAACCCCTGGAAACGCTTGGGGTTTTTTCTTCAGCCCCAAATGCACTCAAATTTTCACAAAAGCAAAGGCAGGACCTGTTTGTGTTAGTGTCTCAGAGCCAGTAGCCCTGTGAGCAGCTGTAGGACACGGGAGGGAGACACAGGTAGAGGCAGACTCTTCCCTGCACAGTTGTGACTGCAGGAAAAGTAGGGATCAAAAACCACGGAGCAGCCGCGAGAACCGGGTCTGGAGCTGACCACCGTCAGTGCTGGGGGACCCCCCAACTCAGGATTCAGAGGAAAGGCTGCTTGTTCTTGAGCTGGGGTGCAGGGGCGGACCTCAGCGGGTGTGGAGACGAGGCCACGCTCGGTAGTCACGGTCAAGCTCAGGAAAAGGGAACTCCACACAGAGGGGTCAGGAGGGCCTGCCAGGCAATGCAGCTGCCCCTCTGCCCTCTGTCCGCGCTTCAGGGAGGGGACTGTGTGCTTTGACCCGCCAGGCACTGGCTTTGCACCAATGAACAGCCTGAATCACACCTGCAGAGCCCTCACTGGGAAGTCTGACACTCGGTCAGCATCAGAGGCCATCACATGGGGGAAGGGGAGGGGAGGGGAGAGGAGGGGACGTACCCCGAGGGCAGGCTTTCTGGACTGGCGTTCCTCCCAGGCTCCACACTCCCACCTGGCTGCCGCAACTTGGCTGCTTCCAAGGCCGAGCTGCTTCCAGAGGCAGAGGCTGCAGTGTCCAGGTCGCCCCCGAGTGCCGCGCCATCAGGGGGGACGCAGCCATTTCGCTCTGAGGGCGCCGGCGCTTCTGGGCCCGGGGCCTGCTCACCAGTGGATCCAGGGCAAGTTGAGGCCCAGGCACCATCCTCAGGGACCCCCGCCTGCCCGGGGGCAGGAGCGTCCTCTTGCGGTGCCCTTGCCGGTGAGGACGACTCTCCATTAGCTGCAAAGGCAACGAACAGGCCATGTGACTCGGATGACAAGGCAGAGCCCAGCGCACACAGTGGGGCCTCAGGGACGGACGAAAATAAAACAGGACAGACTCCATCTTCTGTTGCTCACATTTTAGAGATAAACATGTGAACAATAAAAATTTAAGAAAAAAAGTACTTATATACAAAAAACCTTAAGGAAAGAGAAACCAACGTTAGGATAATAAATATTTTTCCTCCAAATGATCAATTCTGAAAGTCTGCCTGGGCATCAACTTTAGGGTGACCCTCTGCTGCAGGTGCCGGGGAGGGCGCACAGGGCTCGGCCCCCCCCCCCCCCCCCCTCGGGTGTTTTTTTTTTAGTGTTGGGGGGGGGGGGGGGGTTCTTCTGTCTCTTTAGTACTGTCTATTAGTCATGATTCTTTACACACACCGCCAACGACCGGGACCCAACAGGAGGCGCCTTTACAACCGGTCTGTTCAGACGGTAGTTCATAGTTTAAATTGCGTTTTCACGTTCCATCTTATATGGCAAGCTTCTACAGAACACGTAACTTTTAACCCCTGCGCCAGTTTCTCTGGTATATTGATTTTAATATAGACAAGTGTCGTTTTATTTATCATTTAAGC